TAATTCTAAAATTTGAAAATATAACTCTTTGCCAATATTACTGAGTATATATTTCATTCATTTGTCATTTGTTTTACGATTTGGCGGCAAATTGAAAATTGTCTGTGTCACGTCATCATGAATTTAACACGAGAAAATTTTCGTGCAATGATTTTTTATGACTTTCGATGTCATTTAAGTCAACAAGAAAGTTATGATAGACTACGATTGGCCTTTCACGATGAAGCCCCATCTCGTGCGACTGTTTACAACTGGTTTAATGAGTTTAAACGTGGTCGCACTAATCTCACTGATGATTTACGTGAGGGACGGCCTTCTACGGCGACGACTGAAGATAACATCTGTGTTGTGCGGCGTATGATAGAGACTGACAAAAGAGTGACCTATCAACAGATTCGGACAAGCTTAGGCATCGGTATGAGTCAAGTGCACAAAATCCTCCACGAACATTTAGCGGTCAGGAAGCTTTGCGCCCGGTGGATACCTCATAATTTGACTGAGGCTCAAAAACTCCATCGTGTGGATTGGTGTCGTAAAATAATTGAAAGATTTAACGGAGGTGACTCAAATGCTGTGTTCGACATACTAACAGGTGACGAAAGCTGGATTTACTGTTATGATCCTAAAACCAAAAGACAATCTGCTCAGTGGGTGTTTCCTTTCGAGGAGTTGCCAACTAAAGTGAAGAGAGATCGAAGTGCGGGAAAAAAAATGGTGGCCTCGTTCTTTGGAAGGATAGGTCATTTTGCAACAATTGTGTTAGAGGATCAAAAAACAGTTTCTGCAGAATGGTACACTACCAATTGTTTGCCACTTGTCTTGGAAAAAGTTCGAGAGAAACGACCTCGCAGTAGGATCCTCCTTCACCACGACAACGCCTCGTCGCACACCGCCAAGCGAACGATCGACTATTTGGCGACATCAAACGTTGAATTACTGGGTCACCCGCCGTATAGCCCCGACCTCGCGCCTTGTGATTTTTATTTATTTCCAAAAATTAAAGAAAAACTTAAAGGAAAGCGGTTTATGAATGCTGAAGAAGCGGTGGCTGCGTATCGCGATGCCATTGAAGAGACCCCTAAGGACGAGTGGGCAAAGTGCTTTTCCCAGTGGTTCCATCGCATGCAGCGGTGTATTGACGTGAATGGACAATATTTTGAAAAGATATAATAAAACTAATAACTGGCTAATGTAATCAGTTTTTGATTTTCTAAGAACTTTCATGTGAAAATAAATGGAGAAATTTAAAAGATTGTTTTACAGAGCAACTCAAATGTACAAAAACAGCAAAATATTTTCGCTGGCAATGAGCGAACCACATGGAATTCATGAAACCACATTTAAGCTTCGCGTCAACAATTACAAACCTGGAACAACAGTGAAGCTCAGATGTACAAGACACTCAGTCGACCTCAGATGCACAAAGCACCCAAACGAGCTTGAGCTTACAAGGAACGCATGCGAGGTATCATAGATATAGCCAGAGAAGACGTCAGATACTTTATTAAATTAAAAATTTAATCCCGGTTAGTTTCAGTACCGTGTTTGCGCTCACTCTTGGTTGCAGCTGAAAATCAGCGATTCGCTCGCATTGCATGCGCGTGAATACTTGACGCTAAGCTGGGACCATTGTGTACTGCTGTGACGCACACACTCATTTTTTTTTTCGAATGTTCATTTGTCTCATCTACATACTTATTTATTTATTTTTTTGTTGAATGAAATGTAATGTGTGTGTATTTTGGCAATCTTTCAATTGAAGCGCCACAAGCAAAATGGAGCGACATACGACGACTCTAAGAATCGGACAACGAAAAGGGGCACACAATGATGGAGGTCGATAGTGTTCACTCCACTATTGAACAATACATTAAACCTCAAATATAGCACGACCACAGAAATCCTACGATGTCAAGTCGATTAATTACGACTTATTTTTAAATTTTGAAGAGTTGGAATCGAACCTGAAATCCATCCGGCCTGGTAAAAAGAAGGGCGATCCCGTAGTGGTTGATATCAGAGGTCTTCAGTATTTACCTGATTGAACCATACTTTATAGGTTGAGACATTTTGCTGAGTGGTCCTTGCTTCAACAGCGAAGAAGTAACCAAAGAAATGGTTTTGTGTCACTAAACCGATTATATGCAGTTCCATTAAAAATAACAGAAAGCAAATTAAAGCATTTGCAGGATCTTAAAATGGTAATTGATCAGGATTACCATCCTTTCTATAATAATTTACAATTTAATCCAGGTACGTAATGGGTAAAAAGCACCCTACCTACAAGGAATTGATAGATTCCTTATACCTATTTTATCTCTCTTGATACGTATGTTTAAACAATTGCAATATTAATAAAACAAATAAATAACTATTTTATTGGAAACTGTGTATTTTTAATTTCAATTCATTAGCATATTTAACTTCAAAAACTCTAATGTGAAACAATACTCGCAACCAAAACCTCATAAGTGGTGCATTGAATAATTTTTATTTTTTTAAACAATACCATTTTATTTTATCAAAATAATGTTTGCAAAGTAATAAGCATAAAATCCTCTAATTGTCGATTGTGTTATTTCTTAGAGTTAGTTTCTTTATATTTTTTTCAGTAGACACTTTTTATTATCTTTTAAACATTCATTTTACACATATGAGGTATTAAAATCACAACGACGATATACGAATTAAAACACCATATCGCTGAAAATAAAATTGGCGACTCCAACAAAATTGATTAATCCAAATTTGGGAGAAAAAAAGTATAATAGGGGCCGCCATATTGAACGACACTGGGTTTTGGGGATGATAGAAGATGATAGTGAAGATGTTCCTTTGCAAATGTGTCTCGATAATGAAAGATCAGGAGATTATTATATTGGTGCCACTGATAAAAAACACGTTGAGGAAGGCTCTATCATCCATACCGACCTTTGGAGAGCATATAACTGCCTTCCTGAGCCTGGATACATACTAACCCTTAAATTCATAATGTAAGATGCAGACTACATAATATTCTGATGGCTTAATGTCAGGCGCCATTGCTTTAAAAAAAATTATCACCTGTAATCAAGGACAGACTTCTTCTTTTTATTCGTATATTGGCAGCACTGGATTTTTGTTCTATATTTGAATTTGACAACTAAAATGTTTAGGCGGACTACGAATTAGAAAAGTTGCGGGTGGATTTATTTATTAAACATATTTTTCAGGATTTTTCAAGGTGAGTTATACTGTTTTATTTGTATTTCGTTTTTGTAAATGATAAATATTGAGTAGAGATATTAAAAATCAATATTGTATTGGGAATGACCACAAATCTTCGAAATAATTTTATGTAGGCCATATCGTACACTATCCATTTAGTACTAAAGTATAATGTTGTATGAGATGTTTGTAGTAGAGTTTTAAAATTAATATTTCAGAAGGCTAATCGTAGATGGACTGGTTCCGATGATCAAATAAGCTCATATCTAGCTACCTTAGACGGCAATGTATCTGAAGATGATGCAGAAGAAGATGAAAGTGAGGAAAATGATGAAGAGGTGCAGGCATATCAGGACCGAGAAGAACTTCGTCGAGTTTTGGAATCCGAACCTGAAGAGTTTGAAGATGACCCTCTTTCGGAAGACGAATCTCTTGGTGCTGATGTGGACCCCAGTGAAGAGGATCCTCCAATAATAGAAGACCCAGAAATTGAACAGGAACCTGCTGTTCGTAACAAGCAAACTCAGCGTCATGAGATGAGAAGATTGTTGTGGAAAAAGCAAGGTATGACACCTGAAGATGACATAGCTTTTTCGGGCACCTTAGATTATGGTGAGCTAGGGTCTTCAGATACATTGTATTTTTTTTTTTCGTTTTTCCTATCTGATGACATCTTAGTAAAAATTGTTTAAGATACTATAACTTGCATGCCATTCAGAAAGAGCCTAATTCCACTTTTTCAACCAATGTCACAGAGGTCCGAAATTATATTGGTATATTATATTATATATCTGTTATAAAATACCCAAATGTTAGGATGTACTGGTCTCCTAAATATGGGTTTGCTCATATAGGTATATAATTGTATGGCCCTAAACCGGTTTGAAAAACTCAAGTCTTTTACACTTCAACAACAATGACTCACTGCTTCCATCTTATCATCTTCGTCATGACAAATTATAGAAGGTAAGGCCAGTCATAGACCATTTAAATAATCGGTTTGAACTTTTTCCTATCGAACAACGATTGTCAATTGACGAACATATGTGCGCGACAAAAATATCACACTATTTGAAACAGTATCTTCCTAATAAGCCCCACAAGTGTGAAAACCCACTTGTGGGGCTTATTAGCTGTTTTTGCTGTGCAGCATTAGAAATGAAACCCTGAATGAGTATGCTCATAAATTTGAAGTCTATGTTGGAGAAAATAACATTCAAGAATCCAATGAACCAGACTTAGGCGTAACCGGAAATGTTGTGGTGAAACTTACAAAGGTGGTACCCCGAAACATGAATCAAATTATCTACTTTGATAATTATTATACATCTATTCCATTAACTACAACTCCCACATGGGTGGCGTAGATCTCCTGAGGGCCTAGACAAGTGCCAAACGCTCGGTGTCGTTTCTATTCCGAAAAACGTATACGCTTAGACGAAAACGATTGAAAATTGGTAGCCAAGTGTCAAACCAGTTGGCGAACGCTCAGTCGATTCGATCGATAGAAAAAAATATGGATATTGTCTTTGGTTCGCTTGGTAAGCGTTAGCAAATGTCAGTTTGACAACTGACGTTGTTGTTTCTTTTTATTTTAGTATCTTGTGTTGTGTTCATCGGTTAATGTTATTGTGGATTTATTATAGGTAAGTATTGTATAGTGATAAATATCTAAAGTATCACATGCTACAATAATTATTCAAATCAATTTTTAACTCATCATAGTAAACTTTAGTCGCGCTCTTTTATTTCTTACTATGTTTACAAAATTAACTATTATTTATCTTACAGTCATGGAATCAAGACAACGTGCCAGTAGAGAGCAGTTCTCAATCATGATCGAGTTCATGGAAAGGTATTTTTTATAGAAATCATTCCTTACATCACCTAAAATACTTCATCTAGCTGACGCGATTCAAGTAACAATATACGACAGAAGTATAATTTATTCCTTGATATAGGCACGGCGATAACTTGAGGCCCCATTCCGGTGTTCAAGGACGATTGAAAAGTGACCAAATGTGGAAGGAGGTGACCGTTTTATGAAATTCCGTGGGTGGCGGCGTGCAGAAATCTGCCGATAAATGGAAAAAGGTAAGTAGATTCCTAGCTACCGCTTTGAGGTTCCTACAGCGAAAGATCAAATTAAACACTATGTTCTTATCTATTTGTAGTAGAGGCCATTTCTTTTTGATCTGTTGCCTATTGTACTTGATAAAGTATTTTCACTCTCATTTATGCTTTGATTAGACAAGCAATAGTTTCACTGCAATATCTTGCTGCAACTTTGTTAAATGTATGGGAAGCTGATTTTTGTCATTGGATATTTGTCCATACGAGGGTCAAACTGAAAGTTCTTAGAACTGGCCACTTATAAACAATATAATAAAAAAATAATTCTAAAATTTGAAAATATAACTCTTTGCCAATATTACTGAGTATATATTTCATTCATTTGTCATTTGTTTTACGATTTGGCGGCAAATTGAAAATTGTCTGTGTCACGTCATCATGAATTTAACACGAGAAAATTTTCGTGCAATGATTTTTTATGACTTTCGATGTCATTTAAGTCAACAAGAAAGTTATGATAGACTACGATTGGCCTTTCACGATGAAGCCCCATCTCGTGCGACTGTTTACAACTGGTTTAATGAGTTTAAACGTGGTCGCACTAATCTCACTGATGATTTACGTGAGGGACGGCCTTCTACGGCGACGACTGAAGATAACATCTGTGTTGTGCGGCGTATGATAGAGACTGACAAAAGAGTGACCTATCAACAGATTCGGACAAGCTTAGGCATCGGTATGAGTCAAGTGCACAAAATCCTCCACGAACATTTAGCGGTCAGGAAGCTTTGCGCCCGGTGGATACCTCATAATTTGACTGAGGCTCAAAAACTCCATCGTGTGGATTGGTGTCGTAAAATGATTGAAAGATTTAACGGAGGTGACTCAAATGCTGTGTTCGACATACTAACAGGTGACGAAAGCTGGATTTACTGTTATGATCCTAAAACCAAAAGACAATCTGCTCAGTGGGTGTTTCCTTTCGAGGAGTTGCCAACTAAAGTGAAGAGAGATCGAAGTGCGGGAAAAAAAATGGTGGCCTCGTTCTTTGGAAGGATAGGTCATTTTGCAACAATTGTGTTAGAGGATCAAAAAACAGTTTCTGCAGAATGGTACACTACCAATTGTTTGCCACTTGTCTTGGAAAAAGTTCGAGAGAAACGACCTCGCAGTAGGATCCTCCTTCACCACGACAACGCCTCGTCGCACACCGCCAAGCGAACGATCGACTATTTGGCGACATCAAACGTTGAATTACTGGGTCACCCGCCGTATAGCCCCGACCTCGCGCCTTGTGATTTTTATTTATTTCCAAAAATTAAAGAAAAACTTAAAGGAAAGCGGTTTATGAATGCTGAAGAAGCGGTGGCTGCGTATCGCGATGCCATTGAAGAGACCCCTAAGGACGAGTGGGCAAAGTGCTTTTCCCAGTGGTTCCATCGCATGCAGCGGTGTATTGACGTGAATGGACAATATTTTGAAAAGATATAATAAAACTAATAACTGGCTAATGTAATCAGTTTTTGATTTTCTAAGAACTTTCAGTTTGACCCTCGTAGAAAAAAAGGCAATGCATCGAAATCCTGAAATGAAACAATTGCTCGAACTCTTAGAGGCCAACTAACATCATTATTTCACCAGTGTTTTTAAATAACTGTCTTTATTTAGGTATGGGCAGACTTGAAAACAAAAAAAAATATTTAAATATAAGAAACGAGTCGCAAGGTACAGGAGGTGGTCCGAGGCGATGCCCTGCCCTAACCATGTTCGAAGAGCGGGTGGTGGCAATTATAGGGACACACGCTATCTGGGCAGCCTGGGATCCGAGAGCAGGGTTTTATTGTTAGTATTTTGTTTTTATTTATTCCACATACGCGCTGGAATACCCCCTACTCTTTGTATTTGCACAATTTTTTTTAGTTTTAAAATATATGTACCTAATGTAGCATAAATGTCTTTCACATAATTATGTAAACATCTCATAATTTTATCTTTTTCCTTTCGTGATATTTTGGTAGTGGTCATTAATACTCAAATAACACATATTTCAGAGACAATCAAGTGAGGTGCCCTTTGAGCCGAGCCAAAGAGAGGACATTCATGTGGAGGTCCCGTGCAGTCAAAACAGTAAGTATTTTAAGTGCAATAAGAAGATCTAGCATAAACTTTTATGTTAAAAAATCTTTTTTGTTAATGTGAATATTCGGAAATAATGTAATTTAAAATACTTTATAGGTGTCACTAATATGTCAATATATTGTTATGTAATATATTTTTTATTACTTGCAGCGACTTCACGAGTTCCATCCCCACCAGACACACTACGAGGAATTTCACCTCTGCCTCCAGTTCCGACACCATCGTCTCCGCGAAGAACTCCGTCTCCGCCAAAAAGTCCTCCAGTACAAACCCAACGCCTCTCCCGGACTACTTCCGACGCCTTGATCGACTACTACTACTACTCTGCGCCGATCATTACCAAGGGCGTGAAGGAATAGGGGATTAACTCCCTTCGATCGCGGGGCAAGCGAATTTGTAGCTATAGAGAAGCGGCGGTTGGAGAATGAAATGGGTAAAAAGAAGCTCCTCCATGAACGGGAGATGGAGAGGCTGCAGCTGGAGGCCCAGAGGATAGAACTGTCTCGGCAACAACTACTTCGGTGCCGACCGCCGCCGCGTGCGCACGCTCTCGAAGTGCTCCGTGTAATTTTAATTACGTTTGTTAATTTCTGTGTGCAGACGTGATGAACGGGTGGTTAGACCCAATCAGCAGGAAGTTAGACCCGATGAGCTGGAGCTCAGACCTGATGAGCAGGAGGTTAGACCCATCGCGGAGAGAAGAAGCGAGCAGCCTCCCTCTGTGAGAAGTTACTTCAGGTTTAGACGGAATCGTCGCGGTCAACAAACTGTAATGATGGAACCTACTGGATTGCAGCAGTTAGAGGCATTGAGCAACAAGATGGTTGCGGTGATGGAAAAGTATCCGTTCAATCCACCAAATGAAACTAACTTTGTAAAAGTTATGGATTTATTGCGCTGCCAGTATAATCTAGTAAGAACTTTAATATTAATGCAAATTTTAATGTTTATTTAGTTTAAAAATTTTTGCTGTTTCTGAAGATTCTGATAAATCTCTTAAATCTAGTTAATGAATTACGAAACATAATCAATTTTTAACTTATTTTAGGACCGATATTTATTGTAGTTATTTTAATTTGAAGTGTTCTGTTAATTTAATTTGAGAAGTAAGTAAATATATTTAGTAAGAAATAAAAAATCTGCTCCATAAATGTCAAAATTATGTCAAGAAGATAGTTTTTGTTTATTTGTAGATAGTAGATACCAACTCAACGTTTAGATAAAGCTTAAAATACTGGTTGACAGACATATTGTATGTTATTTTTCAGTTAATTATAGTGATAAGCTCATTTAACACTGTTACAATATAACGAATAGTCAGAAGAATATATTTTTGTTCAATAAAAATGAATTAGCTCTATAACTATTAGAATGCATAACTTATATTTATTATTTTTCTTTCCAGAATTTCATTGTCTTATGTGAAAAGTGTGGAGGAATTCACCGTACGCGCAATGAGGAGTTAGTGGCACCAGAACGATAACTGCAGGGATTCAGAGTATATTTGTATTATATAAATTATAAATGTTCCATGCCAAAGTGTGTTATGTTTAGTAATAAAACTTACACTATAGTTTCTCATTTGTATTTACCTTAGTATAACATTTATGAAGGAGCCTTTGTAGTGGACAGTGTTGTAGCGAACTATATACCATTTTTGACATTAGGATTTTGTTCTAAATATCAAATAGACGAAAGAAATCTATAGATTATCAAACAATGTGGATGTTTATGGTTGTTCTGTTGTGTGCACTATGTGTTATTTTTCAGGATATAATACATATTAGAAAGCAACAAAGATATGTTTTTTCCAATTATTTTAAACTTAACTTTTTATAAAAAGCATATATATGTTTTTTAATTATCCTATAGAGAAATACGTGAAGAATGAATATAGTATCTAGTATCCAAGGTGGGATTGTAACGTTGGAAAATAAATCCAGGACTATGTATTTTATGTACTGTAGGCATATTTACCTTTTGTATTGTCTATTCCTAAGGATATCGATATTTTATAACTAACTTTATGGTATTGTGTAAAGTCGGTACAGTAACAGTGGAAATAAAAAAAAATCTAGTTAAAAAGCTATTTTCAAATTTTGTTATTAGTAAGATTTTGTTTAAACAGTTAACTCGAAAGTTTGTAGTCAATCTCTAATTACACTCAATTGATATGTTTTGAAGCTTGTAAATATAATGCATATTAGTACTAATAATTACTATTTGATGACTTATTTTTATTCGTGATTTTTTAATAAAACTTTCCTACCATAATCATATTTTTTTATTTTTCAATAAATGACTACCTCTTTTCAAATTGGTATCAAAATGTATGTAAACATAAAGGTTTATAGAAATATTGTATATCACTTCAGGTTTTAATTTTAACGATAACTATCATTACAATAAAATAAATAAATATTAGACAACATTACATACAACGTTAAGATTCTAAGATTATGGAACATTCGTATTATAGAGTATAATTGAGTTAGATATAACTGAGATACCACAACACCCACATCCAAGACTATAAAGAAAAGTTAATTTCTTCTTCAACTCTATATAGGTATATTTAATCTAAGCCGACCGGCTTAATCAGCAGCTCCGTCAAGCTCGAAGAACCACTGTAAGCGTCTCCACGATAAGAAGAAGACTGTAAGAGAAGAAAATTGCGGCTCGTAGAGCTGCCACGGGTCCAAAACTGACCACAGCGCATCGGCGAGTCAGATTGCAGTTTGCTCGCGACCACGTCAATTGGACTCTGGACGGATAGAGGGCTGTACTCTTCTCCGATGAGACAAGGGTGTGTCTTTTTTGGAATGACCGACGCAAAAGAGTGTACAGAAGACGGGGAGAACGGTTTGCCCAAGCATGCATCCAAGAAACCGTAGAATATGGAGGCGTTTTCTATATGTTCTGGGACGGGATGTCGGCAAGGGTCGCTGACTGCTCACCGATACGTAACAGAGATCCTAGAAGAATATGTGGTGCCTTTTGCTGGTTCCATTGGCAAGGAGTTCATTTTAATGCATGCCAACGCTCGTGCCTACACCGCTGATATTGTGCGCGACTACCTTGAAGAGGTCAGAATCGCTGTCATGCGATGGCCAGCAAGAAGTCCCGATTTGAACCCGATAGAGCACCTGTGGGACCATCTGAAACGTAAGGTTCGCTCTCGGGATCCCGCTCCTGTGACTCTCCAAGAGTTCGAAGAGGCAGTTCTTGAGGAGTGGGCTAAGATCCCTCAAGAAGAGCTCCTGAAATTGGTCAGGTCAATGAGGGAACGCATGGAAGCAGTCATCAGGGCCTGGGGGGGCAACACTAGATTTTAGGGTAGATTTAAGCGGCTAGTTAAGAAGTTTAAGAAAATGATTAGATTAGTCTGTTTGTAATTAAGGGTTCATTAAGTTTTTTTGTTATTTTTTAATTCTTTATTTTTTATGCTTTTTCCAATAAATCAAAATTTATAATTGAAATTGGCTTTGAATACTCACTTTAATTACCTTTCAAATGGTACCCCTCATTACATCCCTAATGGCTTGCTAATAGGCCAAAAAATTAATTGAGAAACAAATTTGACAAGGTGCGATTTTTTTGACGCCGAGTGCAGTTTTATTTCCTTTGACCAGATTTATGTTTTACACTAGTTTTTTATATAGTTAATACTTTCATACACATAATAGTCGGTAGTTTTCAATTCATATATTACACAAACATTAATGAGTATTTGTACACTCGCATAATCTCAAACTTCAATCATGAATATCTCTGCAATTATGCATTTCCGTAGGGGTGGTGGAGTGTTTTGTTGGAAGGGTAATACCCACCTTCCCCTAAATGACTAAATTAGTGGGGAGATATTGTATAGTTTTACCCTGTACATTCTTATATTAGTGGTTGGGGCAACTTTCAGACAAAGTAATCGGTGTCTGTTTTTGAAATGTAACCCGAGCTGGTTGATGAAAGCTATGACTGATGTACAGTCGGGGTCATGCGTGCCTGGCCACTTCTAAAAGGGAATTGTTCAGTTTGTATGGGCACTTCCGCTTTGAGTGGACATTATCTACAGTTATAAAAAACGTTATCGTTTAATATTTCATATCTTAAGGAAGTTAACTATTGCAATATTTTCATAGGAAAGTTTAACATTGTATATGTATATATAAGCATGGGTAGTATTCCATAAACAATGTAACGAAAAAGTTCTTTTTTTTTGTTGTAAAATACTTTAATTTCCTTATCATATATAATTTGTTAACGTTGAATGAGATATATTTAATAAAGTTGATATTCTCTTATCACTATCCTCAGTTCTTAGTTTAAATAAATAAGCAACATTACCACGCCCATTACCAAGCCCCATTACCACGCATCTTAGACGCATCGCATCTCAGATAATCCAGGATGGAATTTGATTTTAACTGAAGTTTAGACAGACCTATCCAAAAGTGCACAATGTTTCCTTCATTGTTGTTAAAATCCATTGTAAGATTTCTTTCTTTAACAAATAATGCAAAATCTTGTATATGTTCTGTAGTAAATGTATGAATAAGTTGCATGGTATATGATATAACCATTCAGCCCAATTTTTATAATATAAATGAGAACTACACAGCCTACTGGTTTTTGGTACATAAAAGTTAAAATCAACAAACAAATTTATCCGATGCTACGTGGGAACTGTCAGTCACTGTGGTGAGTCACAACCCGGAACAAAATAATATGCTTGTGAATCAGGATATTGTTTACAGTAGATGTGATCTAGTATGTAATATAGATCTTCCACAGGCTGCTGGACGATGTCCACTACTTGTGCTTGGTTCGGTGTCCAGAGGTATAGTCGGGTTATAATTTCGAGAGGTATCGGAGTCCATTATCAATGCAGACCGAGTTCACGAAAATAAATTGGTCTTCTTCTTCTCAGTAGAAAGTAACAACAAAAACAAAACATAACCTGGCCGAATAAGAATTACCATCACTCAAACGTCTTTGTTGACAAAGTGAAATGGTGCTGCCATATAAAAATCATTTATTGATTAAAAGTAATCGATTGATTTGTAAATCAACTTACATATCTAACCGAAAAGGATTATTTGTAGAGTTTTGTAAAGATTACCTACTATATAGGTATTATATATTTTTATTAGAGTTAAAACTTATCGATTAATCGATACTATTAGTAATAGAACTTCATTAACATTTATTGATATGGAAACACAGTGAAACATGTTAACAAAACATATCCGAATCCAAAAAATACCTCTAAAAAAAGATAATTTTAATGTTAAGTTTCCTATGACAAGAGTATTAAAAATATTTTTTTTCAGTTTTAATAATATTTCACTGTTTACAAAGTTTTTACTAATTAGCTTATCCACCAAAAGCCAAAATTGAACAATTCCCTTTCGTTCGCTTAACACACACTTGATGCATTTTTAGGGGCATGGAATTATGGGCACATCTTCATTAGTCGTAGTATTTTACTATAACCAATCAGCATGGCTCTACGTAAGCAACAAATACCAATGATGCAAACAGCGTTGCATTTTTTTTAGTATAGTCGCTTTTTGCATATTTCTATTGTTGACGTGCTCGCTCTGGATTTTCGATTAACTTCCGCATTCTCATTTGTCTGATATCTTTACTATTAATACTTTATTGATACCTTAAGGCCGTGCTAGAAACTGCACTTTTGATTTGCTTAACGTGACTTTGGCTTGAATTTGGACCATATCTTCGAGAAACCTCTCTATATAAGAGAGGAGTCCTGACGGTAAGTGAAATATACTCACTGCTTATTCAAATATACGAATTGTCATTGCAAATAAAACTCTATTTCAATTTTTTTTTCTAAATTTAAATATTATTGTTTGCTTTTTATTTTTATTTTGTAACATAATATATAATGTTAAATATACTATGATATGAGATCAAATGGAATTTCACTTTCCTTACAAATTAATGATATAACCTCTTTTATCTACATCTCTCTCTAATAAAGAGTAAGTTGTTTGAAGAGTTTCGCGATGATTAAATATTTAAATTAGCTTACAATTATGTTAATTCTGTTATTATGTAGCTCTCAACACTAGTGTTTTCTCATTTTCATCTCGTTTTGTTTTAAAATTATTCCTTAGTCACATGTAGTCAAAGATTCCTATATATCTCTATTATGATAGATTTAGGTTTATTTCAGTAAAGTAGGTATACGACTAACTTATTTGCTTAGTAAATAATAAACGCAGTGTAATAGGATTAAAACTAATTGAAGTCCAGTTTGTGCAATAGAATCGCCATAATTATATTGTAAAATAACATAAAAGTTTAATAATATTGAAAATTAATGTCATGGGGGTGGTAAATGCTTACACGGACGTGGGGGCTGGGTCATAATTACCTGGATATGAACTGTGTATATTTCGGAATCTATTAAAAATAATGAATATTATTTATTATCAGCATTGAATAAGTGTTATTAGG